CTGGTGTGGTTGATCGCAGAGCATGTTCGACTTCGTTGACGATTGTTCAATGATTGAAAGGGGAGGAGGGAACTTGTTATCGGTGAATTCAGTTTCTGACGATGCACTAAATCGGCTTGACTGTCAATGAAAAAGTAAATAATTAAATTGTCTTCCTAAATGTCAGAATACCTGTTTTGGCAGCGAATCACCTTAGGAGGGAGCATTTCTTCGTTTCGGAGCCAAAACAATGATTACGCAACTCAAAAACACGGGCAGAAAATTTTAAAAAAATAATTTTTTTATTTAGTGTGATGCTATAATATGAGAAATTAAATGCTTTTCGTGATTTTTTGCCTAATCGTGTCTTATGACAGGCAAAACGTGACAAACTAAATGGTGAAATGTCTATGTTTTGCGTTAATATCATGCTGCTGATTTGTCCGTCGTTGCCCCATAGGCTGAATCAGGCTTCTATCGCTTGGGGCTGACTACAGTCCAGAGGGCAAGATGATTGAGCGCTCAGATCTTCTAAGTAGTTGAGACGGAGTTCGACTTGCGCAGGTATCGAAAAGCCAATATTCGTGTGTTCGACAAATCGATGCAAACGTTGTGGACTGACTGGCCACTATGATGTCAGCTCGGTTTAGCTGGCCGTTGCTGAGTGCAAAAAAACAGTGTCTTAACGTCAGCGTCATTCTCGAAGCACCGTAACGCATACACGGACCAGTGATCGAACAATTCACTTTTCTGCAATGAATGCTTAAGTCAGTCGGTCCCTCTGCCCGTTGAACAGCATTGCGGATGCACTAATTTTTTTCTGTGTCAGAAAATTATTATTATGCCAATAAAGAAAGCAAAAGTAAAAAAGTGGATATCGAGAGGAATTCCCTCACGAACTAAGCGCCCGCTGAGCCGGAGACAGACCGAATTGTTGCTAGATCCTTTGATGCTAGATCCTTTGACAGGCGTGCAACATAGACTGCTAGGGTTTTTAACCTGACGGAAATGGGCCTAGCAAGCAAAAGTTGCCAAACCAAGCTAAAATTTAGAATCAGTGTCACTTGCACTAAGGCCAGCAACACTCATTTTTGGCGAACACCTACTGAACCTGAACATCAGCGACACAGATGCGGTATTCAGGCTAGAATTTGGTTCACTTCCGGACCGGATTTCGTTGAGCGAGCGATTCATTGCCATCGGATATAAAAGTGGCTGTTTGAAACAGAAATTTTATGATGTCATGTACGAGCGGAGCATATGACAGAGGAGCTTCTAGCGTGCGAAAAGAACAAAACTGCCGAAGCATTTGCTTTCCAGACAGATAGACAGAGAGCCTCCTTTCGATCTATTTACGCGAACCTATCGGTCTGCACGTGACGTCGATGAGTTTTCACCTCCTTATAGGTTGGAGAGGGAATCTGGC